CCCCCTCTCCCATGACCCCTGGAACCATTGGTCCCATTGTTTTCTCCTCCAGGCTGTTCATCCAATCTTATCTAGATCGACCAGCAGAGATAATAAGATACATACACAAAAAAACAAGGCATAGCAAGACACAGCGACAAAATAGAACATGACAACGACAACAACAAAGAAAACCAATGACCCCCCAAATTAATTAATTAACAAAGAAAAACCTGTAAATACATCAAGGTCTGTTTGTTGACCTCTAGGAGTGTCCTCCAGTCGAGTCCGATGGGGTGCCATGTCCTGGCCCCAAAGTCTATCCTTTGCACTCCCTCAGGACCTCCCTGCTCTGCTCCCCACTGCTGCTCTACCGCACACCTTGAAAAGTGTTTTGCCCCAGTGTGGTGGGGTCAGACTGGGCAAATTCCAACACTGAGTCTCCAGTGTTGTCCCCCGTAAGGACATGGGTCAGCAAGGGACGTCGTGTCTCATAGTGGGACCAGCCATATGGTCTACTCTGTGAATTGGCTGTTCTGAGCGGGGGATATTGTCCTCAAGGCTTGGTGGGCCAGGAGGTGCTCCACTCTCTCTTCCTCCCCCTACATTTGCTCTGTGTGCTCGGATCAGACTCGCCCTCTAGAGCTGAGTGCAGTCCTCTAAAGTGAGTTCTTCTGGGGGAGGGCGGTTGTCCAGGTAGCTGGGATTGGGGCCGAGTCCTCAGACTCCTCATTCATATATTCCTATCTTTGAGCAGATGGCTTGCCATCAAAACAACATGCTACAAGATGTAAAGCTTCTAATGACTCTTCTAGAAGCAATCCAATTAAAGGCAGCTACATTTCCTTGGTATTTGGAAACAAATCAATATTGTCCAACTTGCCTCTTATAGCCAGACTCAATTTACTACCCATGCGACTAAGAAAAACCACATTGTACAATTTCATTGCTGGGGAGAAGAAGGTTTTACAGACATGTATGACAAATTGAATAAGTACCAAACCAAAATAAGAGATTAAGGACCAATACATACAGTGAATTAAAAAACATCAGTAAACATGTCAACACTCATATCTGCTTTCCAAAGCATTGTCACAAGGTGCTTACACAAAGTCCACCACAGCCCAGTGTGGCAGAATTCACATCATTCTCATTCTGCAGAAGAGGAGGCAGGCTCATCAGGAGAGCTGTGGCCCCAGCTCTGCCACTAACAGCTTCTCTCTTGGGATGAGGCTACTCACAGTATAGAACTCAGCTAGGAGCCCTTAGTGCAGTGATTCTCAACCTGGGGGTCGAGACCCCTTGTGGGGGGGGTGTCAAATGACCCTTTCACAGGGGTCGCCTGATTCATAACAGTGGCAAAATTACAGTTATAAAGCAGCAACGAACATAATTTTATGGTTGGGGGGGGTCACCACAACATGAACTGTATTAAAGGGTCGCGGCATTCGGAAGGTTGAGTGAGTGCCACTGCCTCAGTGGGTTATGCAGTGGGTGATTAACTGCAAGGTCCAGGTCAGACTTGAAACCATCGGTGCTCCTTGGGAGAAAAATGAAGTTTTCTACTCCGGTGAAGAGTTACAGTATTGGAAACCTACAGGGACAGTTCTACCCTACTCTATAGAGTCACTACGAGTAGGAATTGATTCTACGGCAGTGAGAGGTCTTGGCTGTTCACCACAGAGCCAGGGATCATGCCAAAGGCCCCTTACTACATCATTTACACACAGATAGGATTACATACGTGGGGCACTTGTATAGAACATGGAGCACATCATGAGGGCAGGCTGAGCACTCAAGCAGATGCGCGCTATTTTCTCAATGCTAACACTACGGATTTAGAACCAGTCTTGTAGCGAAGATGAAAGAGAAACCCCACCACACTGCATGGGGGTCATGGGGATTGAATGGACACTGTTTTGCTTCTAAAGCCAATAACAAAGAACTCATGCTGTGACAGTTAAGGCATATTGTGCCAACCTGGCCAATGAACACATGTAGGATTAACTGAAGGGCGGAGAGATAAATGGCTCGGTGAGCCTGGCCTTTCTGGTCTCTTGTTCTTTGATGGTCAGACCAGTATGCGGCTGCCTTAGCTAGTTCTCTGCCTCAGTTGTCAAGGCTCACTTCCTGCTAGACATCCCTGAGGAGAAGCCACATGGACCTACCCTGATGCAGCCCTGGGTGCTGGAGCAGCCATGTGGAGACCCCTG